TGCTCGCCGCGCCGTGCTCGCCGCGCTATGCTCACCGAGCCTTGCTCACCGCGCCGTGCTCACCGCGCCGTGCTCGCCGCGCTGTGCTCACCGCGCTATGCTCACCGAGCCTTGCTCGTCGCGCCATGCTCGCCACGCCATGCTTACCACGCCGCGCTCGCCGCTACACGCCACGATTGCCACGCTATGCTCACCGCGCTATGCTCACGCCACGATTGCCACGCCACGCTCGCCACGTTCAAAGCCGCGTTCAAAGCCGCGTTCAATGCCACGTCTAGCTGCCCTGTGCCCCGTAGCGCCTCACCGCTTCTGTCGCGCCCAGAGTTGAGAGTAAAAACTCAACGCCAATCGCCAGAAGTCATCTGCTTTCACGTTAGCGTTAGCGTTAACGTTTTTTTATTTGAACCCTTTTGATGGACGGCCACCTCTCGTATTTTCGCAGGATGGCACCGTTAACGTGCACACCATCCGGGACGGGCAGTACCTGCGCACGCTGCACCCGGTGGGCTGCGTGGACCCGCGCGCCGAGGTGGGCTACCTCGCGCTGTCGCACCTGGGCCACATCACCTTCACGGCGAACGACAAGGTATGCCACGCCGTGGTCGGTGCGCCTGTAGGGTACCCGACAGCCGTTGTCTCACCCGCCCCCTCCGTTTCAGTCGAGCAACTCCATCCACGTGTACAGCGTCAACGGCGTGCACCTGGGCAGCAAGTACGTGTCGGGGCGTGTCACGGGACTCGTGACCGTGGGCGAGAACGTGGTGGTGGTGGACGACGCCGGGGACCTGACCATCAGCCGGCTATACGGGTGAGCAGCACGACCTAACAGATCAGCACAAGACAAGGCTCAGCCCGCTAGGGCTCGGGTGGGCCGCGAAGGCAGCTCATCGAACCTCAGACGGCTCGCTAGGACCGTTCCAGGACCACCAGCTGCCGCCCCGCCCGGCCGAGTTTAATAACCCCCCCCCCCTTTTTTATAACCAATGTTTTAACATACGCCCCTCTTTGCCTGTTGCAGCCTGCGGCCGATCTACGACGTCCCCTTGCACGTGCCCGTTCAGACCATCGTCGCGACGGCCAACAACACCCACCTGTTGCTGCCTCTGCGAGACGGCAACCTGGTGGTCGTCGGTGTCCCTCCTCACGGCTCTAGCTAGCGGTAGTGTCCGGGGTGACCAGACCTCACAGTGCCGTCGCAGGACTCCCTCATCAACTTATCCGCATCGACCACTGGCAGCATGCCTTCAAAAATGCCGGCATTCGAGTCCCGCCGAATGGGCAGGGGAGGTTAACTTTATGGCTGTCCGATAATTTGACTTTTATTGTTGTTATTATTGTTGATTAGTAAATATATATGTATTGATGGTGAGACCTGTAACCTATCATTTGAGCTGCCAAACCCATTTATAAGATACAAAGTTTAAGTACTTGTAGAATAAATGTGACAATTTTAGTGAAGAAGAGATGTATCTTAATCAGTTGCCTTGAAGGTTATCTTAATTTTATCTGCCTCCTATGGATCATTGTATCTGGATTTACATTTACATAGAACAGGCTCCATAATGATATTTTGATATTTATTGAAATGCTTTAGTATACTAGATTCTCTTTTTTTTTTTCATACACAACATGGAAAAGAATTGTGGTTCTACTTTTTATGATTTTTCATAGTTTGGTTGTTGTTCTCGTTGTTATGTACTTTTACTTAGTGTACCTTAGTTTCTGTAATTTAATAGCTCAATTTTATTATTTATAGCAACTTTTGCACCAGTTGGTGGACCCAAAGTTCTCCGCTATTCAAAGGGAAGGTATTAATACTGTTAAAAACTAAAAACGTGCTGTTTACTTAGGTTTCTGGTCTGTTGTATGAAGAACAACAAATTTAGTAGTTCATATGTCGTAAGATGTAATTCATTGCTCATCAGTCTTATCATAAATGGCAGTGTAGCCTGTAACTTTGTTATGGGCTTGCAATTTTAATGAAATCAATGACGTTTCCCTTTGCGTTGTCTTCCATTAATTTTTGAATGCATAGTCATTAAATTGCCATTCAAAACAATTTTATAGCTACATATAAATGTACCAGATAAGTAGAGAGAGAGTGTGTGTCTGTGTGCGTGTATATTATATCATTATGAACATTTCAAAGTCATTGTGATAAATTTAGTAACCAATTGAATTTTGATTGTAAGTTTTAAACTGTTAAGTTGTCATAACAATACTCAAAACAGAAGAAAATGTTACTGAAAGGATGATTAATAATAGATTTCAGTTTAAAGAAATTGCAA